AAAAAAAAAAGGTATAAAATGGTGTATTAAAAAAAAATAAAAATAAAATAATAATAATAATTCTCTTTAAAAGATAGTGTTGACACTATGTGCCCATTTCATGAACTACACTGTCTGTTGTGTTTCACGTTTTCTTTTATATTATTCAGGCCAATTAGCACTGATACACCTTACTAGACAGAGTGACATTCCTTAAAAATCCACATCATCTCACAGCTACAGAAACAAACTTGGTGTTGCATCCCAGCCCTGTGGACTCAGGCTGCTCAGATGTCTGCAGTCAGTGGCCTCTTGTTGATTTAACTACTTACCAGCTTTGGCTGCTCCACACCTGAAGCACTTCAGCCTCCTCCGGAAATTGTACAGGCCACACTGCAAGTAACCGTTCACATCATTTTGATTATACACCTACTAAAGCCCTGAACAGTGCTGCCTCAGAGAACAGGCAACTATATTGGTACTGCATACCATACTTACCTAAGACACAACCTAACCTTTACCACTTATCCAAATGTAGGTGTACAACAAAATAAGATGACAGGATTGCAAAATTTGATGCTTACAGGCCTATCTCAAGTGTGTGCAGTGTTCTTTAGAAGAAAATGTTGGATAATGAGACCATGAAACCGAGACATTAACTTACTGTGCTGCAGAGCCAGTCTTCATACTTGTTTCTGGGGTGACTGTAGTGCATGTCTATGGTTTTTCCTTGGATGGTCAGGCGTTTCTGAAAGAGGAGAACAAAATCATCCAAGTGTTCATGGAGGGAACTCGTCTCATCAAAAGAGCAAGCAGTTTTGGAAGGGAGAGGGGACGGGGGAGAGGGACCCCCAACAGATAGCCTTTGAGTTACAGACAGGCACATGACGTGTATGTGAGCATGATGTAAAGAGGGTTCTTTTGGTGTTTGGGACCCGAGTGCCCAGGCTGAGCTGGAGCAAAGTGTACAATGTGACCCTAACAGACTTTCCTGACTGCTTTCCAAAGAAAAAAAAATGTATGGGCTTCTCAAAAAACAAAACAGAAGAAAATTCTGTTAAAAAGATTAAGAAAATACAAAAATAACAATTCCCAGTATTTAGGGTAAGCTTGCAAAGAAAAAAAAAGAAAAAAAAGAATGGGGTTACACTGAAATCTGAAAATAACTAATATAGCCATGATCTGCAAGGCAAAGATGGTGTGTTCATCAAATCTAAATGCAGATTTTTAAAGAGATCACTTAACAAAACCAGAAATTTTTCTTGAAGCTTATTACCCAGTACAATTAACTATAAAAATATATTAAAATATGACATTGTAAATAATAATATAATCATCTCTATATTTGCTCTATTGTATTCAGTTTGTTTTTTCCAGTTTTTTTTTCTCTATACAGTTTCCACACTACGTATTCAATACATTCTGGTTGCCTTTTGGGTTATTTTTCCAGATCCCCAAGATTAAAACTAGACTTGGCGATTGTGAAGCAACCTGATTGGTCTCCATCCATCGTGTAGCATCTTGCAAGTGATAAAAGTCCACGAAGGCGAAACCACGGCTTATACCTAGAGACAGCATTCAAATATAGACGGGAGGCGTGTTAGTTAAGAGTCCAAGGGCATATTATTCAAACTCTTCCACAAACTGCTTCCCGACCCAGGGCCAGATTGGTACACAATAGCCCACTCCTTAGGAGTTTTACCATAGCAAGTAATCCTGCAGAATACAACTGTTTGAACCACACTCAACATCAACATGAGTCTGCCAGCTGACTTACTCATAGCAATCAATGCTGCTCTTACTTACCTTAAATTGCTCCACAGTGTACAAGATAAGCCTTGAATCAATATTCTTACAACCTTTTCAAGTACTTTGATATAGTCATCTCCTAACTTCTATGGGAAAATGGGTCTGAATGGAAGCAGATTGGCTCTATGGTCAAAGACTTGGGGAAGCTCGGAGTCCGTCACATGACTGGTTCTCACCTGTTCTCTTTTTCATCAGCCTGACATCCACTGGCTGGGGTCCCTCAAGTTGGTCAATGGCAAAACGAATCTAAATAACAACATGCAGAGGCTGCTTAACATCATAATTCAATCATTCATTCATTAATACATTTAGAAAGGTACTTGCACAATAAAAACAAAGAAAAGGAACAAAAGGGTGCACACGACCAGTGCAACTGAATACTTACATCATCCTCAGTGACATGAGGAGACAGACCCCCCAGCATGATGGTCTTGCTCTTCTTCTCGTCCCCTGGTTCCCTTCGATAGTCCTGCTCTTGGTAGTCACCATCTGAGTGATAACCATCTTCTGATCTATCACTGTTACGACGCTTCCTCTCCCTTTGCTTTAACACAAAACAACAACAGCTGCTAAGTGTCATTGGACAATTGTTTTTTCAAATGCAGCATTAAAACCCAAGTGCTATTAGGACAAGCACCTCTGGGCTTTCTCGTGATCCTCTGCGATCTCCTTCATAACGATCACCACGTCTCTCGTCACCCCAGCGGCGCATGTTGTGTTCACCACGTTCTTGGTCTCGCTCACGTCTGTCGCGCCACTCAGACTCATCACGGCACTGGTCAGAACCATATCTACCGCTACGTTCTGTTCGACTAATCCTATTCAGAAGGACATTACAAAAAATAAAATAAAATAAGTCAAACAGGAGCACAACTAATACTGCAATAAACAAACCAACTTAGCACACCTTAGTGTTCAACATGTATAACATTTCAATCACTTTGTTACCATTTTAGTTTTATCATGACTCCAGCCTTGAACAATGCATTGTCATACTCCATTGTCAATCTCAGTTAATCTTAACACTGTCATGCCAAAAAACCAAAAAACTGCTGGAATTCAAACTGCTGTAAGTGACTTGTTGGCCGATAGTCTGTCAAACATATCTGAAACACCTCTAACGTGAATGATGACATTTTTTTGCACTGGAAAAACGATTCTTGTGACCTGATTGAAGCAGTTTTTGGCCAGGTGAAATTTATAAATCCTTTATTCATGTGCATGAAAAATGTCAGATTTTCAATCGCTGTGACATGTTTTTTTTCTTTTAAGCTGTATTTTTATTTTTATTTTTTTAAAGGAAAGATTGTAGCTTCTACCTTCTGACAGGAATATGTCTGCCGGAGAGGGCACCAGAAATTGCAACAAATGTAACATATCAGTTCTTTAAAGATACTTTAAAGTGGCTGAAAGTGACTTAATTGATTGCAATGTAGAAAAAAAGCACGTACAATACACCAATATAGGCAAGAAATGTTACTCATATTAAAAAAAAAAATCCACAACAACAAAAACAACCCCCCAAAACAACAACACTGGCAATCACTCATTGGCAGATAATCACTTTTACATTCTTGTATTGTCCTAACTTTTTATTCGAATTACGTAACACGTTTTACGAGAGAATTTGATGGTAATAAAACTGTTTACCTGTAGTATTAACGAAAACAAATTTAGCCTTTTTTTATTTTTTGGTTTAAAAAGAAATTCCATGTAAGGGTTTACATATCTGGAAAAGCTGGTAGAAATCACCGCTACTTTTGTCTGCCATTTCAGTTTAAACACAACTTTTGAATATTATTTGGTTAAACATATCCCCGAAACTCGGAACATGTATCAGAAACGGGAAAAACACAGGATTCCCACTATGATAAGCCACACCTACCATGGTGAGCTGAACTGGCATTTAACGTTGCTACTCACCTTTTGTCAGCCCCCATATTTCTTACAGCTTCCGCACTCACACGACCTCTAGAAAACAGAAATAAAAACGTTAAAAATATACGTAGCGGTTTTACTCGTTTACACATAACAATTCCCCGTGTAGTCGAGTGAACTCGTTTGGCGTGAGAGAAACAAAAACCAAAGCCCTCCTTTTTCTTCATTCTATAATATGGAGCTAGACGTCATCAAACGGACGTCTCTTAAGCCAAAATCAACGGTGCTAACAAGAGACCGCGAAAGCTTTAGTTTCAACTCTGAACGTGAAGCAACTTACCAGTGTAAGCTTTTATGATGGGGTTTTTTTTCACCCGCACTATTATTTTTTCAAAACGGTAATAGAAAAATTGCGGAGAAGAAAATTCATCTCACGTCCAAAGACTTATCTGCGATGGCACCTTCTTTATCCCAAGATGCATTGGTGTTACCCGGTGCATTATGGGTAATGGAAAAGTCAGCCCCGAGTTTGCCTTACAGGCATGGAGTGGTCTCTCAGCCTGGTTGTTTTCCTCACTCTTCCGTAGTTAGTTGTTAAGACTTACTGGGGTTACATGTTGTTATAATTATCATAACAAACAAAACAAAACATAAAACCGCAACAAAGCGTATATATACGTTTATTGGTATTTAAATATAGAGCATGGTTAGTTTTTTTCGTTTTCTTGAAATTAACAAATCATTGGCAAAGAAGACTTTAAAGTAGTAGCTAATTAAGGTTTAAACGTTTGAGTGGAAAAATGGTGGATAAGATAAATTAACCTATACAAGCTAGGATGAAGCAGCATGATGGCACTGTTGTTAGAACTCTTGTCTCATAATAAGAAAGTCCTGGGTTTCTAAAGTCCTTCTTTGTGGAGTTTGTCTTCTCCATAAATTGTGTATCCTCTCACAGTAAATGTGCGTTGCTACTTTTATTTTCTTAAAACGTTTGGTGGTTTAGTGAGTGCTCAGTTGGGTAGAAAAGCCTGGACGGACAACAAAGGGATATAGCGTAGTGCTGCCTGTGAGGGAAAACCCAGGACAAAATTATCACAGCTCGCAGATTTCCGCCATTTCATTGGCTGTTTACGTTACATTTTCGTAATAGCAGTATATGGATGCGTTCTGAAAGCGCTTAATCCCGCTGCTGTTAGAATTTCCCTGGAGGCTTTTCATGGAATTGAAAATTGTTAATGTTCTACTGGACACATAATTAAATTACCGTCATGCTATAACCACGTTTTTTATTTTTAACACACGCTATTAATAATTCAATTCAACCAGAATGCACATTACTCTTTATGCAAGTATTATTTATTATTCATAAAACATTTGTTACACATTAATGCCATTGCAATGAATTCTTCTAACTGTACCAAAACCTGCATACAATAGCAATCTGACCCATTTAATATGTTGTTTCATGTCAAGCTCTAGTCTATATACACTACAAGTTTGTATAAACATTGTGTGTCTGTCTGATTACATAATAGTCATAACTAGACCCATCTTCAACATAGCAACATAACTGTTGAAAAAAAAGTTAAGTTCAGCTACAATGTTATTTAAGGTAATTTATTACAGTAGTTAAATTCAGAAACATCACCAAACACTTTGCTGTACAAGGAGGCCCTTATTAAATGTAAGTACACAATAATAGTTCATCTTGGCACAAGCAAATGTTCCTCTTTTGATACAGCTTTCATTTGGAAGTGACACTGTACACAACACAGATGGTCAAACTGCAGTGATACAAAATTTATAAATCATAATTGTGCTCCAGACTTACTTTAAACCAATACTAGTGGAGCTTAGTTTTGTTTTGTAATAGAATATAATGATGCTTGAATCAATGGTAGCCAAGTTAGACACACATCTTCTGTACAAATGCGTCATGAGATAAAATAACACAAAATCCAGCCATATAATATATTTTTAAAAAAAAGAAAAAAAAAAAGGTCCACATCGTCCAAAAATAGGAGGGTGGAGTCCATCACACTTAGTCCAAAACTTCAGGGTGAGAGATGGCAGGTAGGTTGGGGGTGTTATGAGTTTCAATGGCCACTTCTAGGTCAGGGTTTCTCCTTTTGTCACCTACAATAAGAGACATGTTTATGTAACGGGTATGGTTACTTGACAAAAAGACAAAGTCAAACAAAGAAATAAAGGCACTTTACATCCAGTTAACTTACCCTTGCCTCAATGTATTCAATCCTCCTCTCCAGCGCTGTCAGCTTCTCGTTGAGTGTGGCCAAACGAGATCGACACGACATGTCTGATGGAGAATTAAAAAACAAACAAACAAACTAGAACGTTTAGAGGTTACCACGACGAAGCATGACATTGTCATCAATTTTCCAATAGCTGCTTAACAAAGATGCACACCGTCATTTTGGGTTAAAAAGGTTTAAAGGGCACATCCGCATACATATTGCCCGACAACACTAGCATTAGCGGTTACGGCAGCCTGCTAATGCTTTCCTATCGTCTGTCGAATTTGGTATATTAATAAATTCATTAATACGACCGACTCTTAAAGGACAGCTAGTTGGAGCAAAATGTAAACCGATTCCTCTTCAAAATGTCACAATCCTCCTCCAAAACAAAAACAAGCTAACAGCCGCGCTAACTGCTAGCTGGGAGTGGCCATTGAAAACATCAACATCAATGCTAACAGCTGGCTGAACTAGCTAACTTCAGCTAGTTTGTTAAAAGCTTACCAAACGAGTTAAGAAAGTCGGCGATCTTCTTGATGCTGCTCGTAATTACTTCTATGTACTCTCGATTCGCCCAGTCTTGGTGAATCTCTCTTTGCACTGGATCTTCCTGGCCAGCCATGTTGGACGAGTTGCAGTATCCCTCTGCTTTCACCCAGGAAGTACCGGAAAGTGTTGCGTCGATGTGAAAATATTATACAACACTTTTTTCCCCCATGAAGATTCTATTTACCGAAATTTCCTAAGTTTCCTGCATACATTTCTGAAGGATATTTGTGTGTATTTTATAGAAATGAACACAACACAATTTTTCTTTCGGTTGCTACCTTTAGGGGTCGCCACAGCGGGTCACTTCCATCTCACTCTATCCCTAACATCCTTTTCTGTCACACCAACCCTTTGTATATCCTCCTTCGCTTCATCCGTGAAGCTCCTCTGAGGATTTCATCTTCTCCTCCTGCCTGGCAGTTTCATATTCAACATCATTTGTTTGATATATCCACTATGTGTCCTCTGAACATGTCAATAGCACCTCAGAGTTGCTTTTCTAACGTTTCCTCTAAACTGCTGAAACTGAGCTGTTCCTATGATGGTACTTATTTCTAATCCAGCTCATCACTCCCAATGAAAATCTTAGCATCTTCAAGTCTGCCACCTTCAGCTCTGCCTCCTTTTGTTTTTGGAGTTCCACCATGTCCAAACTATACTAGGTCTCAATACTGTCTTGTAGTGAGAACTTTCCTTTCACTTTTGTTGCTATTTTTTGGTCACAATTCATCCCTGACATTCATCTCTACTCACTCCACCCTGCTTGCACTCTCTTCTTCACCTCTCTCGTGCACTGTCCATAGTTTTGGATGGTTGAACCCAGGTATTAAAACTCATCCACCTTCACTACCTCTCATTGCATCTTCAGTCTTACACCTGTTTTCATCTCATTCTGTCTTGCTTCTACTTTTATTCCTCTTCTCTCAAGCGCATACCTCTCCCTGCTCCCTACTGTCACTACAGAGCACAATGCCTCATCTCAACATCGCAGTCCACAAAGACTCCTGCCTGATGTAAACCATCTACCTGTCCATTACCATTGCAAATAAGAAATGAGCACAACACAAGTATTATAATAACATTTATTTCTTCTTTTAAGTCAAGGAAGTGAAAATATTTGCGATCTTATTAAAGACATTCACAATGGTCGTCAAACTTTTACATTTTTATCAGAAACCCCTCCACAAAAACATTTAAAGGAGTGTCGTCATTGAGTTAAAAGGCTGAACAATCCAGTAGTGGATGTCATTTAAAATATCACAAACAAACCCAGGCCTGCTACAACATTTTTGGAACTTGAGATCTGAAAGCATGACAAATTATCCTAATATGTGTATGTGCTGACTGATCTTTCTGAACGGTTATGTTTTAAATCACCCATAAAATTTCCCAGCACACTTTATTTGAGTCTCTTAAGTAGCTCTTTAATATCTGCCTTGATGTCACTTGTCAGGAAATTTCTGCTGTAGCGCTTGTAGGGTTCCCCATCAGGACCAACCAGGAACTTCTCAAAGTTCCAGGATACGTCATTCCTACACACTGGACTCCAAATGATGTACTTTGGATCATTCATGAGACCCAGGGCATCATCGCAGGGGAATGGAAGTTTTTCCTTCAGATAGACAAACAAGGGGTGGGCATCCTTTCCGTTCACATCCACCTTCTCGAGGAGCTGGAACTTTGGTTCAAAGCCATTCCCTGGACGGACATACTTCAGAGATCTTAGGATTTCATCGTTCTTGCAGTTCTCCTGTTGCACCAAAACACAAGCACTGTTAGATGTAGACATTAAAGTGGGGTTTCAATTAAACAAGCTAAATAAGAGGAATTGTAGAGTACTTAGGTGCACTATAGAGGCAGGTGTATTTGTATTTGAGATTTATTCGCTAATTTATACTTTGTATTGTATTTTTCTGGTTCATGACATTTTAGCAGTAAATAATCGTGCTTATGAACCTGATAAATGTATCCGACAGATATGGTATTTGGACAGATTCATATTTACCATAGAACATCTTTGAAAATTTAGGATATTAGAAAATAATGCGCTGTATTATATATAAAAATCAATATTGTTAACAGCATTGTCATACCAGGAGCTTATAAATATTATAAATATGCAAGCTAAAATGTTGCTTTGACACTGATAATTTGCTAATATTTTAGTAACAATCAGAATACTTTTAATAAGACACTTCATGTAATATATTACTTTTTTTAAATATGACACTTCACATGTATTTGAACACTTACGGCCCACTTTAGTTGAAGTAAAAGATTCCTAAAGTTAAAACTGTTTCATTTCAGACTGATAACACACACGCATGTCTGTAAACCTGTGTTACTAAAATACGGACGGCTCGTAGGTAATATTTCTCACATGTCAAGAATAAGGAAGCTAGGCCTGGATTTGGCTAGTCCGGAGTTTCGGTCACCTCATAAACATTACTCTCTCTCTCAAGTAAAAAACAAACACGCTTTGTACCTGATGTCCAAACTGATTGCAGGGTACACCCAAAATAACGAGACCTTCGGCGGAGTAGCGAGAATGAAGCTCGTTCATTTGAGTGTAGTCCCTGGTTGTCGTTCCTCAGAGAGACGCCACATTTTCAATAAGTACAACTTTGTCCTTTAGTGCAGAGAAACGGAGAGTTTCTCCAGACAACAGCTTAGCTGTCAGGTCGTAAAACCTTTTCAAATGGCCAGCCATTGTTAAAAAATCCAGATGATTTAGACTTCTGAAACCGTGAACTCGGATTAAAAAGCTTTTCCTTATCACGTTTCAAATGCGCTCCAAGTCCAGCCCTCGCTTTTATTCTTAGGGCGGGACAAGTAGCTTATCTAACAACACCCCTCAGTGCAAATGCAAATTATTATTATTATTATTTGTATTAGTAGTATTATTTTATTATCGTTTTGCAGAAAGACGTAAAGCATTTAATTTTCACCTGCTATCGAAATCTCTCTCTATTTGTTTTAAATGTATTTCTTTATAGATACCGATCTATAAAGATAAAGTTGCACAATAATTTAACAAATGTGGTAATCCAGTATGGTAATTATCATTGTTTCTAACCATTTGAGGAAGTCACTGACGTCTAAATCGCCAATCAAAATAAGTAAAGAAAAATGACATAATAGTTTTTACTTAGCAAATATTTATTAAATGACCACTGCCAATTTTGATATTGGACACGTACACAAACCTACACAACCGAAACTGCAGAAACTCTGTTAGCAAAACGTATTTCACGTCGGTATGTCTTAAGAGATTTACAGTTTGTTTACAACAATCCCCCCTTTTTGTGTGCATGAATGGTACTTTCCAGGAAGTCACAGGAAGTGAATTTATTTATTGCTTAGTGAAATGACTTGAGAACTAATGACTGGAGAAGTGGAAAACACACAAACCATGCTGTTAAACATGGTGGCTTTTTAAAAAATAAGAGCCATAGCTGTGTTCACTTATGGCTCCCCTGTGGGTAAACAATCATGTCAGACTATATGAATGTGTGTGTGGTCAGCATCCTGATATCCTGCTATCCGTTACATCTTGTATTTGGGAATCTGCTCAGAAGTTACTGTGATAACTGGCCATCAGCCAACAAGAAAGAAAGATTACACCCGCCTGCAAGTTCATACGAGGACCTGATTATTAAATAAAAGGTCAAACATCTGGTAGACACTATTTTTTATTATAGCATATCTATTAGCAATAATATAAAGTCTGTTTTCTGTAATGTCTAAATTATTATTATTATTATTATTATTATTATTATTATTATTATTATTATTATTATTATTATTATTATTATTTTGTTAATATTTTAAAAGATATTAACCTAAAAATCAGGTATATGTTTAAAAAAAAATCTAAACAAGGCTGTGCAGTTGACCGCTAGATGGCGATGTTGCCATTCTCTTAAAATGGCATTAGACGACGAGTACCCTACTTTTCACCAGGTATAAGTAGACAACTTATGATGAGATTTATCATATTAATCCAGCTGCATTGTGTACTTCAAACAACACATAGCCATGTCTACTTATCCTGTAGACATATTCTGTGTTTTTTAGCTGCCCAACGCTTTGCAAGACTCTTGGGACTGACTGATTTTTGTGTTTTCCCTTGAGCATTGTCATGGCACATCTGGTCAGGGTGTGGTGTGCTTTGTGGATTCAGATGTCATGGAATGTAATCCAAGTGCATTACTGGATAGCTGACTTGATACAGTCTGAAAACAGAGCTAAATGTAGGGAATGTAGTATTTCTACTATTCATCAAGGGAAAAGTTCAATGAATAAAGGACAAATGAAAACACTAAACTGAATTAATTAGCTAAAAGTAATGTTAGAAAAATAAACGTGACAAAATCGTTGCTCTAGTCTATCTGAAGGGAGTTGAGACTTTGCGGAGTCTTCAATAAAATGAGGTGCTTTAGAAGGCCTGTTTATCCTTAAAAAAAAAAGAAAAAGAAAAAAACTTCCTTACCACTGAGACGAGAACAAAGAATCTTAGCCTTCTGTTGCTGCCTGTAAGGAAAATGGAAATACTAGGATGGCGGAAATTGATATTATCCTAATTTATTTAATTATTTCAGTAGCTTGATAGTAATGTGATTTGGTTCTATCTTTAATTGTAATTATTTATTCTTATTTTGATCTTAAGAAAAAAATATGCATCAGTTCATCCACTCATCCACCTAGCCCTCTATCCATTAAACCTACCAAGTCATCACTGATGTCAGATTAATGTCCTTCTGGAGCCCCTTTTTAAATGTGCACACCACATCAGATGTTCTGTGAGCCAGCACGACCAACTTCAATCAAAGGTCAGACTACTAAACCTATAGCACTGTTACTGAAGCTGTAGCTATCTGCTTTATTGTCACTCAAGTGCTTCTAACAGCACAATCAGTCATTTGGCTCTTAGTGAGATGTCTGTGTATGTTCCCAGTTGATCCCTTTGTGAACTCATCTTTCCTCAAATATCCTATAAACAGCAGGAAATAATTTCTGCTGGATCTGTTTTCATGATACTTAATACTGCACCCTCTCTTGGGTCTCCGAAATCTTTTTCCCACATTTCAAAGCAAGTCCAGCTGAGCTGTGTTTGTACTGGGCTCTACCAAAACAGTGTAACAAGGAGTAGCACCTTGAAATGGTTAGTCAGAAGTTATTGCACTGCTACAATGCTGGGAGTTGGGAGGTTCTGGTAACATTAGCGCAAAACAAAGGGCTGAGAGAACTAAT